TTCACTGAAGCCCTGTGCTCTAGGACGGGCGAAGAGGATTAAGTCAAGTATGAGCGGATCGGCGAGGGTTGATTACTAGCAAGCTGGCTCCTTCTGCCTTTGTATTCGCCCAGACTTATGAGGGGGTTCAGTGCTCTCTTAAAGTTAGCAGCCAGCACTCGAGTCCCATATCTGTTCAGATGGTAGCCATCTGAGGTGAACAGGGATTTCTTGATTGTTCCTGAGCTGGAGAGGTTGGAGTTGTCTGTGATATGTACATAGCTTGTCTCATCCGCAACTACTTTTAAGAATGAGTTGATGTCATCACCTATATCCATGAGGTGTGGGTCATCCCTTGGGAGAATGGGTGAGAAGACAAGATTGGTGCTGGGGTACTTGTCGTGGGCGACGTGGACGAGCCTCCAAAATCCCTCGGTTACTGTAGCAGCGTCGCGCGCGTCCCGGACATCATAATTTGTACCGATGTGAAACAGAATCACCTTAGGTTCAGCAAGGGCAGAGTTCTGAAAGTAGCCCTCGGCTTCTGTTAGATTGAAAGTTAGATCACTTTTGGCACTTCTGTCAGGGTAAAGGATTTCAGGTTTGATTGCCTTTGTGTTGCTGTCGCCCAGGATTAACACGTCTAGCGGCTGCTCTTTGTTGTGATGATTCTGTGCCGCTGTCTCCAGACGTGATGTGTTCACACCCGGTTGTTTTGTACTTCTTCCATTGTTGTCTTGTTTGCGGCGTTTTGCACTTGTACTTGAAGTGTCAGCTTGTTTGTCACCGTCATTGTCCAACCCCTGGAAGCGGTTTTGCACATCAATAGTTGCGAATTCTTGTAACAACTTTTCTGCGCGTTCTGCTGGTGAGGTATAGGTCTGAGTTTCCACAGACTGCGAAGGGTTGGACGATTTTCGAACATGGATTGTTAGTTCCTCACATTTTTGCTGGAGCGATTCGATCTGTTTCTGGAGCTCAGACTTTACTTGCTTCATATGGGCGACGTCTTCCATGAGTTGCTTCTTTTCTTTAGAAGACAACCCACCACACACATGATTGGCCTGAGATTTCATTTTAGTTTCCAACACAGAAATTGTTTGACATACAGAGTTTTCAAACTCGGCTCATAACGGACACGTCAAGAGAGTGACTTGAATTGAAGTTGAAGTATTCAGTACGTATAAACGGTCAAACATCCGTAGATTTTGCCAACGCGGGTACGGGTGGGGGGCTAGCCTTACTTCCACTGAGTTTCGAAGTTCATAGAAAACGTTGGAAAACCAAAGCAGGTAGGCAGAGCCTTGTATCAGGAGCTTCTGCGTCGTCTCATAAACTTTGATGCTTACTGAACCGTGTTCTTCTTTGGTCTTGGCGTCAACAAACGGGAACTTGATGTGGTGACCATTCTTCCCTCCATTGATTGCTTTAGTGCCGTGATAATCTTCGCACGATTTAAGCCAAATCTTAGCCAGGTTTTGAGGTAGGAATATGGTGATACTCTGCTCGTTGTGTTTGACGAGATAGTCTTTGGGGTTTTTGAGCATTTTCCTGGTGACTTTTGGGAGATCTGGAACAATTTGACTGTTATCGTAGCGTTGTCTGGACGACGAATCAGATAGAATGGTAAAGGCTTTGCTCACCTCGCGGTATCTACAATCCGCTTCCTTGAATCTGAAGTCCTTGCGACTGAGCTTAGCGGCTTCTTCGTACAAAGTAACCTCTTTCTTGTAAGAGTCCACAATCTCTTCCAAAGTCGCTGATGGGAGCACGCCGAGTTTGGAGTAGAGTCCTTCTTGGTCCGTCGCGATTTCCGACGCCATGGCCGACAACTCGAAGCTGGCTTGGGTTTTAGAAAGATCCACAAATTCGGCGATAAATCTTGATCAGGCGAACCAAATAGCTTTCAGTTGAAACAAAGTTGACTAAAATATGTTTACAAAGTTGTAGGAGGTAAAATATTACATGGATTACAAGGCAGAGACACAGTTCTTCTTGCACTAGCGGGAGCGTGTGACAGGGACGTCCGTCACAGGCGCCATCTTGAATTAATATATAGAGGTGGCAAGCCTCAAGCTTAAGATCAAGAGGTGTGGACGGACGGAGAGCCCACCTAAATTCTAGATGCATTAAACTAATCAACAGTCCGGGAAACCTTCAGCAGTCTGCATCAGATTTGAGGCCCTTAACCTAGTCCAGGAAGAAGGAGCACGAAGCGAGTTCTCTGTTTCCCATTAAAGCTATAGCTACAGCGGAGAAAACCGCCCGTGGATTTCACAAAAGAACTTTCTCGAGGATTGGGCAAAAAGTTATGAAACTTATGTCAGCCATCTCCTCACACATGAAAGGAAACAATAAAACAAAGTAATAATAATAATAAGAAGAAAGGACAAAGGTACATAATGAGCTGGTGTACAAATCAAAATCAATCAACTAAATCAAACAAAGCGTCCTGTCTGCAAAATAAAGTTGAAAACCACATCAAACGTTTTACAGTTATTGACAAACAACAATGAGGGGTTACCCACTGAGACTGGTTGAACATAAGGTGTTGTCGGTGGCGTTGTTTATGTCAAATGGCAGGATGTTAGTTTAAGATGATAACATGTCAATACGTTCGTCAGTGTACAGTGGGCAGTGTAGGAGGTATTGTACAGCTGTTTCGTTTGAGTGACCACATTTGCACGCATGACTGGGCACACGTTGATGTTGGAACAGGTGAAAGTTTAACTGACTGTAATTTCACCCATGTAATTGCTCATCTGCAAAGATATGCCTAGAGGTCATCTAAATTTGTGCTGAAAGTTAAACTGAATGGCTGCAACATTCGGTGCTGAGAGAACCTACCTGAGTCTTCATGTACGTCGCGACTCAAAAAGGTGATCCGGCTGACTCTGTAGAAACCTGCCAGGTCCACTTTCCACCATGGCTGATGTTCGGTGTTTGGTTCAGCGCACTCAGTGTCATCACCATCCACAGCCTTCTCGGCTCCCCGAGGTCCATTTGTGGAACTCTGCGTGGCGTTCTTTCCAAGGGCTACATTGGCTTCTGCAAGTAATTATTGACAAATCGTAACAGATACATATATTTCTAGCCTCTACCAGGCTTCGGGAGGCGGCTGGAAAGAGTCGGCCAAAAAGAGAGATAACATGCCAGGGGAGTTTGTCTGCGAGGAGAAAACATTTTGCCGCACCTGAAGCCTGTGCGTAGTCGCCATTTACGAGTATTTTAAGTCCACTAATCGCTGTTCAATAGGTGACAAGTAGCTAAATAACCCTTTTATTGCTTTGCGACTGGGCCGTGACGAACAGTGACACGAACGGGCGGCGTGACCATTTTACAGAAAGTTTCAGAGGTCACGAAAATTTTGATTCCATAACAATACGTTTTCCCATCAAAAGATACACAAAACTCTGAGAAATCTCTTTATTTGGCAGATTTTTACTCTTTCCAGCCGCCTTCCGAAGGATGGTAGAGGCTAACATTTTTCAAAGGGTAGGTATAAGACTGGAAGACCTATGATTTACCCTAGGACGAATTAACGTTGGGCATTTGTAAACTTCGTCAAGTGCCTAGTTTGGAATATAATATTGTTTTATCCTAACGTGAGTTCTGTTGTTGCTCCTGTCCCCTATACTCATAAAAGCATATAATGATATATATACTCATTAAAACATTGTTAATTCAATGTGACTTATTATTCCTTATTTGATTGATCCCTTTAATATCCCATCTGTGGGATACTTTGTGTACTGTGTCAGTTTTGTGTTTCCTTATGTCCGCATACGAATTGATTGTGATGATCTTTGGGTATCACTGGAAGGCAGACGAAAAATGTCCAGATATCAAAATGACTAATTAACTGGTAGACGTACCAACTACTATGTATCTAATACAAGCTCAGAAAAGAACAAGAAATAGTCATGCTTTTAAAAACCTGAGTTATCAACCAAGGATTGAGGTATTCAAAAACGCATTCTTTCCTAGAATTCTTTCCTGTAACAGTCGTTAGATGTAATGTAGCCAATTGTCGCCGCTCCACGTTCCTGCGAAGCTGGTGTGGTACGCCGAAGGGTGGTTACACCGGCTTTACAGATACAAATAAAAATACAGATCTTTGTACTGCTTAACATGTTTCGGCTCTCCTCGTGAACTTAGAATGTCTTCTGGGGGGCCAGAGTTGATTTGTTTGTTGAGTTGAAAGTCTATGAGTAACACATGTGTCTGAATTCTCATTGTCGTCACTGTAGACTGTAGGTAAAAATACATAAAAGGCATTTCCGTTTGAGATACACTATGAGTTAAGCCCTGATATGCCGACTAACTCTTGTTATGTGACGAATAATAGTCCGCTTTTGTGCAATCTAACAGCTAGCTACATATTTTTAACAATATGAAAACCATGGGAAGCGACCTATTGCGGGTATTTGTTTTACCAGGGCCGAGGTAGCCCAATATGATCACGGGCGCGCTTTTCTTCAGAGTTCTTTTTTGACAGATTATTTCTTCCCTGGCCTGGAAATCGAAGTAATGTCATAACAACAGAAAGATGTGTATAAAGTATATATTTCTTTGAATTCATCAGTTGTTAATTTATTTTTCTTATTTTTAGTCTGCGCATTATCGAAGTAATAATAGGTCGACTAGTCGACTAATCATCACTGAGGAATGCTGGCCGAGAAGTAAATTTTGCCACTAACACATGGATGTTTCAAAGGAAATTAATAAATCAGAGCATATGTACTCTAACAGCTACGTACGGGGCGATAGTGGTTTCTTACGGTTATGCAAAAGGAAGCATTGTCGTTGACATCCTTGATGCATTTCCTTCTGTTTGTTATTTGTTCATTACTTTAATGCTTTCACTAATGCTTCTAAGCCATTGTAGGTTGACTGCTTTTGGAACCTTTTAAATTGTGGTTGCTTTGCTAAAATCATCTATTATTATTTTAACATAAAATAGTTGTTGTTTTCTTCCACTAGTTTGTCCTGCCTTGTTAAAGCCGTGATATGAATGTTACCAGACATCTTACCTTTGTCACAAAATGGGCCAGTCCAGATGACGTTGCAAACACAAGTGTCCCCGTCATTTCCCGTGATGCAGTCCCCGCGTCCGTTACAAACCCTGTCTGGCAAATCAGAGATCAGCACGTTGAAATCTATGTGGGGATGGGAGCTGCAGGTTGAGTTATCGCGAATTGAACTGCGCACACGTTGCGAAGTCATTATATCCTGTAAACTACAGTCACACCTCCAGGGGTTCCCTGTTAGGGTAAGGGTTGTCAGGGAAGATAGATGTTTGATGTCTACAGGAAGACTCGAGATGCTGTTGTTGGACAGACGGAGGTGTGTCAAACTGGTCAGATTTAAGAATACTCCATCCGGGAGATCAGCTATATGATTATCAGATAGACCCAGATAATTCAGACGGGTGAGATGTGAGAAAACTCCGTCCAAGAGATCAGCTATATGATTATCAGCTAGATTCAGCCAACTCAGACGGGTGAGATGTGAGAAAACTCCATCCGGGAGACTTGAGATGTTATTGTTGGGCAGGCTAAGGTGCATCAAACTTGTTAGATTTGAGAATACTCCATCCGGGAGATCAGCTATATGATTATTGGATAGATCCAGCCACCCCAGACGGGTGAAATGTGAGAAAACTCCATCCGGGAGACTCGAGATGTTATTGTCGGACAGGAGAAGCCCTATTAAACTGGTCAGATGTAAGAATACTCCATCCGGGAGATCAGCTATATGATTATTAAGTAGATCCAGCCACTCCAGACGGGTGAGATGTGAGAATACTCCATCCGGGAGATCAGTTATATGATTATCAGATAGTTTCAGCCACCTCAGACGGGTGAGATGTGAGAAAACTCCATTCCGGAGACTTGACATGTTATTGCCGCCAATGTAAAGCCTTTCCAAACTGGTCAAACTTGAGAAAACTCCGGCAGGGAGAACTCGGATGTCGTTGTAGTCCAGGTTAAGCCCCTCCAGGCTTGTGAGGTTGGAGAAATCCGCCTCAGACAGATTTTGTATGCTGTTGGACCTCAGCTCGAGTTCAGTTGTATCCAATGGTATGTTCGCGGGAACGTCTTTGAGCCCCCGTCCGTTACAGTCAACCGACCCGACAGAGTTACAAGTACATATCTCCGGGCAGGTGAAGACAGCCGTGACGACCCACAGGAGACCGAGGACGCCGACTGCAGCAGCTCGGCACGTCACGCGGCACCCAGCACCCTGCATGCTGCTGCTGCTGTAAGCACAATTATACAACTTACATCACTGAAATCAGTGATTATGTTGATTGCTTAGACCTTATGCTGCTTATTGATTAGACCTCATTAAATAGCTGACTACAAATATTCCGCGAAACACCCTAACACGCACAATCAAACACACACAAACACGCACACAGACACACAGACACACACACACAAACACACACACACACACTGACATACACACACGTACACAAAACACGCAAAAAATGTCCACGCATAGATATGTGTAGCGAAGGTCTATTGTTGGCCTAATACCACATATTATTATGTGAAAGTGTTATAAATCATATTTTATCTGAATGTGGTATAAGTCATATATATATTAATCTCTTCTCAGCCTCTGACGATACTTACTGCTCAGTACTTGTAAAGATGTAGATAGTTTGGACAACCATGTGTTTATTTGTAAATAAGTAGATAGTCTGGCCAACTATATGTTTGATTTGTTCCTAGTGCAGCATATATCTTTGTATGTAACAGTTGCGTTAAATCATTTGTACGTTAGTATGGAGCCATCCGTAAGTCAGGGCCGTAAGTAAAATATATTTTTTTTGCCGTGTGCAAGAAGACATGGGAACAAACCATGGGACCATTATTATGTTAGTTATACTGCATGTATGTGTGCAAGAGGACATAAGAATAATCTTAGTAACTAGTAAGAATTGTTCAGATCCTGTAAACATAATTTTAGATTTTAGTTACAAATGTATTTCGATGTTTTGGTCCCTCGATGTGCCGACACGATACTAGTACCAGACGGATTCATAATTTTGTTCTGTAACACATTTTTACTGTGATGTTAGTGCATTGTACATTCTTACTTCGTTTCCGATGATGCCAATATCCATGCGAACGACTGTTTTTTTACCGATTACTAGACTAGTACTTTGGTTGAAATAGTATGTAAGCCTTCGTTTGTTGACTAAGGAAGTAGCGCCAGTTGTATGTTATACGTTTGTTATACGTTCATTACACCTGTGGAAAAAGAAAGAAAAGCGCAGTTGGATAAGTTGAATGAACTTCTTATTAAAGTTCGATGATATTTGTTCGAAAATTGACCTCGTGTGTGCGTGTGTTTCTGCCTAAATTACTGTCTCCTGTATTGGGCCGAGTTGACCAGGGAAATGGGCTGAGTTGACCAGGGAAATGGGCCGAGTTGACCAGGGAAATTGGCCGAGTTGACCAGGTAGATGGGCCGAGTTGTCTGGGCCGAGATGGTAATGGTCCGAGTCGTCCGACATTCCTCAAGGATATAATGCCCTTGGACATAATTTTCCTCAGGGCTTCCAGAAGTCATGATGGGTGGTGCAGGATAGAAAGTCAATGCCTTTACTGCTACTGTCTGTAAGGACACTGCGGAAGAGGTAAAAGACGTCGGGGCATGAGCACAAGGTTCGTTCCAATAGAGAACTAGGAGGAGGGAAACAGAGTTAGGAAACGCTTTGAGAATGACCCCAGCTAACGCCTTATTCCTGAACTCGTAATAAGACTCAGGGCGCTAAATAATAAAGACGCAAAGATGAAGCAATAACAAGAAAGGCCTACATTTGCTCGGGAGCAAATACAGCAAATGGCTTCACCACATCCTTCTTACAAAAATTAAGCTTTCCCCCTCCCGCACAAATGGATTGTTCCTAAATTAGCGTGTGAAATGTTCCTATGGTCTATTCCCCCAGAAATGGAATGCCTTCTACTGGTGGAACATGTAGAACCAGCGTTTTATTTAGAACTGTGTCAGTTGGGGATTTAGGTCTTCAAGCCACAATCACTGTTTATACTGAAAGTACGGTAGGTAAAATATTTAAAGGGCTGATATGAGTAGTAATCACTATAGTCTTAAGCATTTGGTGCCAAGCTTCTAGCTTATGCTAAATATTCGGTTTTCTGGAATTGTCACATTGTTTTTTTATTCCATAACCGAACACTACTTAGATATCAATAACCAATTGAATGTATGATTGGGGGATTTATCAAGCGAAACACCAGCCATTGCGAATATTATGATCATATTAGGCAAAATATATATTTAAGAAATCCGGGACATTAAATCTATCCATCTGCACATTTATTGCCTTCGTTAAATATGTATCTTCTTCTTGTATGTATACAGAATTGAGAAAAACATTGCGACAGCTAAAAACTAAGTATGTAAACACAACGAAAAAGTGGAAACCTTTATAATATCACTGATTGCTACCACAAGCATCTGTCAATGTATGTACAACTGTATGTTCTTGTTCAAGATTGCTTATAGAAAATGGAGGGATCTTTCAAATATGAATACTAATTTAGTGTGTGTGTGTGTATGTGTGTGTTTGTGCATGTGTGTTTACTGTTTATTTTACTGTTGTCTTTGTATATTTCTGTTGTTTTGTCGAATAAAGCTTTGTTTATTCGCCAAAACAATATTTGGTTTTTGCATTGGCGCCCAGGAGCCTGTCGGTCCAAAAATAGCCAAAATTTTACACAATTTTAAAGTGGTGTATGTCAAAAGTTTGACATTCTTTGGACATGTGTCCAAGGTATATCAATACCAAATGTCATGTCATTCAGATTTAATATTAGGGGAGATGAGGCAAAAATGTACATTATTTGTAGGAAAATAGCCAATAAGCCTAATTAACACAATTTTAACGAGGTGTATGTCAAAAGCGTGAATGACATTCTGTGGACATGTGTCCAAGATATCCCCATAACGAATTTCAGGTCATTATTAAGGCTCTAGATCCCAAATTGTATTTTATAATATTTTTGGCCCGAAAACGGCCCAAAAGCCCTATTCAAACAATTTTCAATAGCTGCATCCATAGAATGAAAAAAAGCCTGAGGGTATTTAGGCACAAACTTTCAAATTATTTTTCCCAAAAATGGAAAAAAAAATCACATCCATTTAACGAAATGACAGGGGAAGGAGGAGAAGGAGTAGCCTGGGTACTATCCTATTTGTATGCCGGGTCTCCCACACTCACTTTCCGAATGCTATGGAGAAGACCACTCCAGATGTCGTATTCACTCGTGTGCAGGAACCTATATAGAAGACCAGATAAAAGATCCACCAAAACAGCGCCAACAGGTGTTTGGGGCTGTTCCTTGTAACTCAGAAAGCTCTCACAGTAGGACCACCACCAAATTTTCACAGGTTGGTGTAGTAGTACAATTAAGTCATTTTAACAACTTTGGTGCATTTTATCGCAATATAAAGTCATTATATGTAGTTACTTATGTGTTTTTGTCGGGGTTTATTTATTTATCTATCACGATTGACCACATACACAATATACATGCATATTTAAGCCATCCGCCATCTTGGATCTTCAATCTTCAATATTGAAATTTGAATTTTTAAGATAAAGCCTAAAAGCTTTATATACCTGATTTAATGATAGGTTCCGTCATCTTGGATTTTGGAAAATGATGTCATCAAATTAGCATAAATTATGCATTTTATGATAAAATTATGCATTTTATGATAAAATTTACCGAAAATTATATGAGATGTTATTAATATTAGAAACTATGTATCGATACATTGTATAAAACCCATAAATTACTATTGTTGAAACGAAAATTACTAAATTTAGCCAAAAAAAAGAAACCCGTTGAAAATTTGTCATCTTTTTTCTTCTCAAAGGCGGAACAATATGCAATGATCTTGTTTTATGCAACAGACATGTCTAAAATGTTGACAAGTTGAACTTTAAGGTTCAGGTGGTCTCATTGATTTGCACGTTTCCAGTACATTTTAAGGAATCTATGAATATTTCAATTATTCCATTTAAGAAAAATATTTAAAAGTATATTCATACAGGAAGGGGTGGTACTACCTGAATATTGCAGAGTGCTCAATGCAGAACGCATACATACCGAACTTTCGTCAAGTGTATGATCTAAGGGCTTGTGCCGGGAGCATAAAAGTGATTATCATATTCATATCTTCATAGCTTTTTTTAGCGCCTGGGGTATAGACCCTATGCGTCATGTCGTCTTGTAAGTTCATGAAGATAATATCTAAGTTACAGTTTATTGCACATCAAAGTTGGGAGACCAGTTAATTAGGTAGAAAGGGTTAAAAGTTACTTAACTACATTGTGCACAGAGTGGGAGAATGCAAAATTGTGATAAAAGTTTAGTGATAGAAAAACGTGGTTACACCAGATTTAATGATATAGTCAGCCATCATGTATTTTGACCAATGGCGCCGAAGTTAAGCAGCGAATGAAGTCACTGGCAGGACCTCTCCCCAGTTTCCTGTCACTGGTAAAGAAGAGGAAGCTGCAGTGGTTTGGACACGTAACCTTAGCTCACACTACACTACAAGGGAAGGCGGAGGGTGTACGACCGAGGGGGCGTCCACGAAGGACTTGGACCAGCGACTTGAAGGAATGGACAGGACATCTCCTAAACCAGCTAACAAGTCTAGCGGAGGACCGCCAAGGGTGGAAGAGCCTTGTTGACAGTCTTGTTGTCCCGACGGCAGTAACGTGACTGCTATGGGGCCGGGTTTGGTGAGGCGCCATCAAATTATTATAAATTAAGAATATTTAATTATCCGGAGGTATGGTGATGATGAATGATAGAAATTACATATAATTATATAGGATAATAGTATTGATAGAAATCACGTGTAATTGAAAATAAAAACTAAATGTGTTTATGTTTCAACCAAAATTAATGAATTAAAAAAACTACTAGTAGTTGTCTGATATATTTTTTGGAAATGTCACCAATTCGATCGTTCTAGCCAAGACGTTTAGCCACTATAGAGGATAAAATTTGGCGCGGGCCACAAAGCTCCCCCAGTCTGCCGGAATAGGCTTAGTGTTCTGCCATACTACCATTCTCTAAGAAATACTGTGGAAACTTGCAGATAGCATTCATATAGACGTCACCAGGTGCAGAGGGGGAATCCCCAAGTAAATAAAAGCCACCAGGTAAAAATGAAGGAAAGTTTTGCTTTCTACATTTAGATTGTACATGTGTATATTGCATATGTCGGAATAGTCTTTAACACATTTTTGAGCATAATTAAAAAAAAGGAAGTTTCTGCCCTTACAACTTTTAAAACTGGTGAATGAAACATTTTGTTTAACAAACTGGAAAACTTCAACTAACTTGAACTATTGTACTAATAGCCAGACAGCCTGATTTCCCCCCCCCCAAGTCATGTATAGTGCTACTAATGACTTTCTGTTGATGTTTATCTGCTCTTTTCCCGAAAAATATACAATGTATAATTTGACCAGATGTTAAAACATCCCAACTCTCAAATGTAGCCGTGCTGTATATGTAGAAGCATTTTCCGACGTGTTTAACAAGGAGACTTGGGTGCCCAGGATATGTTGAGGTTTCTTGGCAACGTTCCAAAGTAAGCAGGAAGACGTGACATGAGGCTGAT